ACACATACATTTACACACATACATTTACACACAAATTTTTAATATTTTTAACTATTTTATGTTCTATGTGCTCTTCTTTTAACAGGCTTTGAAGCACTAAGAATATGTTAAAAACATTCTTGAACTTGAATATGTTTAACCTAAAGATTCATCGGTAAACAAACAGTATAAGGTAAAGACTTAGTTTGACTTTACCGTGCTTCTCTCTGAGCTCTGGTCCTGTGGGGGGGGGGCAAAAACATGACATGAAAAACCCTCTCATGGTCCTGGAGAAACGATAACGTTTACACTTGCATGAGCATGTCACAGTGAGTTGTGCAATGTTCACAAAGTAATTACTGCACACCCACGTTACTCTGAGAGCGTTTAAAACCAAGGAGGAAGTAAAGTGCATAACAGTTAACGCTGTTAGACTACGTCTTATTAAATACATTGATAATCTCTGTAACCTTATCAAATACTTAAGAAGCGTTTCTCATAATTACAAGAAACCCTCTCATGATGATGATCTAATGCAGGGATTCCCAAAGTGTGGCGCAAACAAGTTGGACATGATCCCGGTGTCCCGGTGTCCCGGTGTCCAACAACACTGATCGATGCTTTGTCCGAAGACATCCGGGCTACATTAGTCGGTCGCGTGAAGAAGAGTGAGTTCTACTCTCTGCAAGTAGACGAGTCTACACATGTGGCCAATCTGGCCAATCTTCCGGTGTACGTCCGTCACCTTTTCGAAGGCACGGTGCAGGAAGATTTTTTGTCTTTTTTGTGTTTTTTATCTTGTAAACAAACGCCAAACTGTTCTCTCATTGGTCCGATTTTTATGCGCTATAAATAGGCTCTGTTGCTTTTTTTTTAAGGTGTGGGGGATTGGGGGTGCGTGAACCCGGTCGGGATGTAGAAGGGGGTGCGTGGCCTAAAACGTTTGGGAACCGCTGATATAATGTAATTATGACATCATGATCTCAATCTGAAAAGAACTTTGATTTCTTTCTTTTCTTCTCATTTAGTGAATGAATTCTAATCAATAGTTTTAAAAATGTTTAAATTATAAATATTTATATATTTTCAAAATAAAATATATCTTATCAGAAATATAATCAATTACAATAAAAATAAATCGAAAGAGAGAAGATTGAAGGTTGTTTTAGGTTTTTTTTAGCACATAGTGTCAGAAAGGTCCCGAATGTCTTAAACTCCTCCCCTAATGTGTGGATCAATACGCTATCACTATTCCGTGCTAAATAAAGTAGCTCATCGAGTGACTGAAAGTCCTTCATATCGACCATTTAGAATCTTACATGAAGTTCATTTTAAATTAAATATCTTTAAATCTTAAAAATGACACAAATCCGAGACAAACAAAAGTCACTGCCTGAGATGAATACCCGTCCCTTCAGCTGCTAAATGCTCGACACCAGTCTCTAGTTATATAACGTATACACTGATCCCTTCAGCCAGGTAGTTTTTACTACTTCACGGCAACACATTTGTATATTTACCACAAACTGTCCCATTTGTAAACCTGCTCTGTTCTCTCTACATACTGGTGGACGGACCAGTATGACCAGACGGAAATGATGAATAATACCTTCTGCTGCTTTGATCCGAAGAAAAATAATAATAAAGAGTCCAGTCAGTGCAGTTCTGCTCTTCATCGCTGCATCCACGTGTCAAAGTGAATCCGTCTCTTCAAAAGAATAAACACAAAGGTAAAATAAAAGGTTAAAATGTATGAAATGAGAATATTCTACTGCTTCATTGTGAAGCCAACTTCTACTTTCGATCTTACCGATATGCAAGATAACGCTCCGTTGACGTGTGTAGGTGAAGTCTCTGGATTTACACCGCAGGCACCCTTAGACCCTTAGACCCGAGAGACCAGGAACCACAGACGGACTAAAAGTTACTCGCTGTGGCTTTTTCTTGTTGTTGATGACTAACCCTATCACAAGCAGCAACAATACATCCCGAGAGCGAAACAAATGAACAAGTGAAAGCCAACAGCCGCAGGTGGAGCAATACTGGTTCACTCAGCAGACGAGCTCATGAGCCAAAAGGCAGCAGCAGGGGGTCAGTTTAGTTCAGCCGCACCCTTTGTGGTTGAACCTTATCAACATAAAGGGTTTAAACACTTCAAGAGTCAATAAATCAAGTTTCTACTTAAAGATAACTCAAATAAATCATTATATCATGAACTAATTATGAAAACAATTTGAATCAATAAGTGAAACATTATTGACCAATGGTCAGAACTTCAGATTGTAAAATATGGAAAATAATATACAAAACACCTTTCAATATAATGTAGTGCAGTAAAACTCCACCTTTAAGTATTACCTCAGTAATACACGTATACTAAAGTTATATCAGAACACTTGTACTGTACTGCGTTAGAGTACAGAATATAGTGACCACTGTGTGTTTGAACAGAGCTTCAGTTCCTTAAATGTCCAGATGTCTAAATTACGTCTGCAGCAACATCACAACTATTAAATATGTGTGAATAATATTTCCTGAAATATTCAGTTTGGTTTCATTGATCTAGTTCCTACTGAACTGTAAATGTTGTCTTCTTCCATTGTACCAGTAGAGGTCAGTCCTCACCTGAACAGGACGTCCTCTCACTTGAATCAATTAATTTCATAAATCAGAACATTGACTCTGCGAGTCACTCGGATCCAAACACGATCCATCGAGACGTCATGTGTCATTTCTTTCCTTCTCTTTCTGTTACAACATCTGCAGTGTGAAGCTACATTCATCCAGTTGGATTAAAGAACTAACTAAAGAGAATCAACTTCTCAATAAAGCAACGTTCATTGATTGTTGAATTAATGATGCTGATAGAACCAGAGTAAAGTCAGTCCACAGGGAGAAAACAGGAGCGTGGACGCCAAACCGGAAAGGACCAGAACAAGAAGTGGAACCACGTGGCTGCTCTGTTGTTGTGGTGAGCTATGATCAGTGGAGCATTCCACTCAAACTCAAAGCCCACCTCATCTCCAACGATCTGTTCGAGCCATTTCAATCCGGTTTCCGCTCACAGCACAGCACTGAAACAGCCCTCCTCAAAGTCACCAACGACCTCCTCCTCTCCTCAGACGCTGGTCACCTCAACATTCTCATCCTCCTCGACCTCACTGCTGCTTTTGACACCATCAACCACAACATCCTTCTCTCCCACCTCCTATCCTCCTCCCTTGGTCCTCTTCTGTTCATCTACTTGCTCCCTCTTGGTAACATCATCCGTCAACATGGTCTTCACTTTCACTGCTACGCCGATGATGTCCAGCTCTACATCTCCACAAAGGCCATTACCACTGCCACTCACTCCACTCTCACCAGCTGCCTCACTGACATTAAATCATGGATGCAAACCAACTTTCTCAAACTGAACTGTGATAAATCATCGGTCCCAAATCCCTCACTAAAACCAGTCACAACTTCTGCCTCACCATCGACAACTCCACTCTGTCTCCCTCCCCACACATCCGCAACCTCTCCTTTGAACACCACGTCAAACAAATCACCAGAACTGCCTTTTTCCACTTAAAAAACATAGCCCGTCTCCGCCCATCACTCTCCTCATCTGCTGCTGAAACTCTGATCCACGCCTTCATCACTTCCAGAATCGACTACTGCAACAGTATTCTTTATGGCACATCATCCAAAATCCTAAATAAACTCCAGTACATCCAGAACTCTGCTGCCAACCTCCTGTCCCTTCCACTCAGGACCAAGCACCAGACATGGGGCGACAGAGCCTTCTCCATATCTGCCCCCTCCCTCTGGAACTCTCTCCCCAAACATATCCGAGACTGCACCGACCTTTCCACATTCAAATCACAAATCAAACCCCACCTGTTCAAAACTGCTTTTAATGTGTGACCAATATTGTGTGTTTTACAATTTTAGTGTATAGCTTTCATGTTTTTAACTAGTTTAATCTACATCAATGCATCATATTCTATAAGATCATCACATGTTTGTATCATCACTGTCCTGTGAGAACCTCGTATCTCTATAACTGTTTTCAGCTTTGTGACGATGCATCTTCCAGCTGATCCAAGAGGCTTTCTTTGTGTTCAAACGCAACCTGTTGGTGCGTTAGAGGAGCCGCTAAAAACAGTTTCCAGTCCGAGTTAGTTTGAGTCTTTGTTGTTCATGTGGCTGCTTCACTTCCTGTTTCACTGAAATGTGGCAGATGGCTTCTCTTGTGGATGATGACGTTTGATTCTGTGGTTCTTGGTGGGAGATTGAACCATATGATGATGGTGTTGGTGCTCGTGTTAAAAGGTGCAATGTGTAGTAAGATAAGAAGCTGTTTAAAACATTCAGAAAATCACCTAACATCAACAGAATGTGAAGAGGTGATGGTGTTGGCGTTAGGTCAAAGATGTCCAGTCTTGTAATAGCGTTTGTACCTCGGGAGGCGATAGTGAGCCACTGATGACAGTGAATTGACGACGAAAATAAATTGCCCTGTTGTTAGTTGGTAGTTGGCTTTTTTCAGAACTGATGACTGTAAAGTCCGACTGTATGGACCCAGAAGCGTGCGTCCTCTACTTGATTACAATCCCGCCTTTTGGGGTCTTAGAAATATCTCAATGTGTGAAATGGTGCAAAAACGACGGGCACAAGGACGGGGACGTGGGATGGGAATCAGGTGAGGCTCATTGGAAGACGTGTAGAGCTCAGTTATGTAACTTATGGATCAAAGTAGGTCGACGAGGCAAATATTTATCTGGAGTAAACTAAATATTGGTTATTTTTATACACATTGTTTTGCAACAATAGTCGGTAACCGGGTCACCATTTTTTGAAAGAGACATCTCTGTTAAGACATTCAAATGTATTTTTATACAAGCTGAGTGCTATATAGCCCCATTATATTGGAGATATCTGTCTAGTTTAAACATATTTCCTATTTGTTTTATTATTGTTTTGCTCTTCGGGTAAAGGGTCTGGCTTTTCTGTGTTTACAGAAATGTGACTCATAAGCACCAAACCTCTGTGACCAGCACGAAGTTGAGTTTTAACATTAGTGAAGAGGAAGAGCTTTTTATTCTTTAATTCTTTACATGTTGTACCGTGTGAAGCAGGTTGAGAAGAAAATAAAGTCGTAACAATGGCAACTGTTTCAGTAATTCAACAAATATACCATTGTTTTTACAGTCTTGATCTGTGACGTTTTGAATAGAAGAAAAAAGAAGATCTGAATCGATTATTCAGTTGTCACGATTTCCTTTAACTCAGGATGTGGGTAGACTGTCAGCTGATGCTAGACCAGATGAACTCAAACAGCAGCGACACAGGATGGAGGCTGCTTCCCTCTGCCTGATACTGTGTAAAAAAATCTACTTTTTTCAATAATTACAATAGATATAACTTGTTTCTTTTTCTTTGTTCATTCGACAACCAGCACGAAATGTAGTTTAGAGATCAGACCAGAAGCAGAAAAGTTCAGAGTAATTTACAGAGTAACGGTACGGGTAAGATATGAATATGCTCTATACAGGATAACGACAAAATGTACAAGTACATGACAACGCGGATTAGTGAGTTATCTTGATTTGATTGTTGATGATGAAGTCTGGATTTCCTGTTTTGGTACTTAAAGTTTGCTTCAAAATGTTCTGAAGCTGTCCTCTTGGCATCGGGTCTTTGAACCAGAGCTGCAAAAGTGCAGTTTATCAATTTGCTGGATCATGAACATAACGTCTTTGCACAAAACTTTATTTGTATGATTGTTGATTGATCTCATAGTTAATAATAATGTCTCTGTTTTTAACCAGACATTAGATGTCAAACTGATGTTTGTTTGTTTTTAAAAAGCGTTTCTCTCATTTCTCTGTTGGCACCGCCAGCAGCCACACTGAGCATCCATCCCGACAAGTCTCAGTTCTTTCGGAAGGAGGACATCTCTGTGACGTGTGCGGCGCCGACAAACTCCAGCAGCTGGACGTTGATGGGGAACAACTCCTTAAATATGTCCCATCCCTGCGAGGGCGGCGCCTGCGCCCTGAGGAACCTCTACCCATCGGACACCGGAGTGTACTGGTGTCAGTCCGAGCGGAGCGAGTGCAGCAGCACCGTCAACATCACAGTGACTGGTAATGTCGGCATTAAACTTATCTGGGAGGATTCTGGGAGGACATGTTGCAGATTTAACACCCCTTGTGTGTTGGTGACAGATCGAGAAGTATACAAACGTAGAGCCAGTCGACTTCATGACGCATGTTTGGTGGTAGAGAAGAATATTGAGGCAGTTTTAGAATTGTGGTAAAGACAGAGGGATGAAGTGAAACATTTTGAGAGTAAAGTCTTCCTCTGTACTGAGAGCATTAATACGCTCAAATCTACACATAGAATTCACTTTAGTTGCTTGAGATGCTTGAGACTTTTAGAAACACCAGCATCGTGGCCCACAGGTTCAGCTTTGTCTCTCGGTGAGAGAAGCAGCTGGAGACACCATGTGTCAACAAAAGAGAACTATGGAGAAAATGACAGTGGGTTTTCTCGACTGTATTTCAGCCGGTGTCGTGATCCTGGAGAGTCCTGCACTTCCCGCGACAGAGGGAGAGAAAGTGACCATTCAATGTTTCTACAAGGAGAGAGTTGCACCGAATCCGACGTCGGATTTCTCTGCTTCGTTCTACAGAAATGATGATTTGATCGGCACTGAGGATGCAGGAAAGATGGTCCTCCCAGCGGTGTCCAGGTCTGACGAAGGCTTCTACATGTGTGAACACCCAACGAAGGGGAAGTCACCGCAGAGCTGGCTGGCTGTGTCAGGTGACATGATGTCCTGCTTTCTCTTTACTGTTTTTCTATGTTTAAGATGTTTTGGGTTTAAGACATGTAGGTCGTTTTATAGGCTGCTCCCAGTGTTTCTTCACCAACACACAGAAAGTATCATAGAGGACACGTCATCAGGTTTTCTCCACTAGAAGAGCATCCTAGAG